ACGAGGCGAGAAATGCGAATGAATTATTAATCGCAGAAACACCCGAAATCACGACACAATCCAGCACACTCTCCCGCCAACCCCCTTATCACCTTTAATTTTGAGGAACACGGAAATGCTCACGTGTAGACCTGGTAGCATCGCCAAGGGACAACAATCCGCGAAAATCATATCACAAAAGCATCGCTTCACACTCTATAACATGCTTGTCAAAATCCTTACGCAGTGCACTCTATTCATCCACCACTGTGGCAATGTTTTGAATATCTTTACGCATTTCTTTATTTCTCTGTTTTATGTCACTGTCACTGTCACTTTGGACAACAAAGTTTCTCGTAACATGGGCGAAATTCTTGAATTTAATTCACTTGAAAGAATTTTGTAAAATAGTATTTATATGCACTATAATGATTATATGATCACTTTTCACTATTGTTTCTTTCTTACAGTCCACTATTTTCAACTATTCCGCACATGATCCGGCTCGAAGGACCATTATTTGTTCAGGAATCAACATAAATAAAAAAAAATGTGCAATATTGTTCTTAATTTCAGTAGGAAAGTGTAAAGATAAATTATAAAGGATCAAGAAAAGTCACTATTTTACAATAAAATTAATATTGTTATATTGAACAAATTGTTTATTTGTCACAAAATAAGAAATTATTATTTATATAAATCAACAGAAATTTTGACCATCGTGAGCGTTCGAGTTCTTGCTCAATACTGTGATTAGTTATTACTCACATATTCGAACACATATTTACGTCGCGCGAATACATTCTTAAGACTATCGTAACACCGTCCGACACGATTTTTCACACACGAAAAAATCAATGATTTTCAGAAACTAGGCCCAAAAAAAAGATACCCGTGTCTGGACGTTTTGCTAGATCAGGTCATTTTTTGCTTTTAGGGGTAAAAACAACCCTTAAATGAAAGGTGATAGGAAATCTTGTACAAATTAATAATTTTTTATCAAACCTGGTATCTCGGGGTTTTCCGGGTCGCTGATTACGAATCTGATGTCAGATTTTCAAAATTCAAAATGGCGGATCCAATATGGCGGTCGAAATATATAAATATTAATTATTTTTTGTAAAACTTGGTATCTAGGGGATTTTGGGGTCGCTGAGTACGAATCTGAAGTCAGATTTTTAAAATTCAAAATGGCAGATTCAATATGGCGGTCGAAATTTATAAAAGTTCATCGAATTCACTTGAAACTTGTTACTTGAAGGTTTTTGGGGTCGCTGATAACGAATTCGATGTCGGGTTTTCAAAATTCAAAATGGCGGATCGAATATGGTGGTCGAAATTTATAAATGTTATTAGTTTTTTTATAAAACTTCGTATCTCTGGGTTTTTGGGGTCGCTGAGTACGAATCTGATTGTACATTTTTAAAATTCAATATGGCAGACTCAATATGACGGTTGAAATTTATAAAAATTGTTAATTTTTTATAAAACTTGGTATCTAAGGGCTTTCGGCGTCTCTGAGTACGAAAATGATGTTAGATAAGAATAATAAAACAGCCAAGTCTAATAAAGGGGAAGATCAGAAATCTGAAAAATAATTTGGAAAATTTAAATGTTCAATCAATTTTTTGTTAAAATTTGCAAGCCAACATTTTAAAATTTTTATTTTAAGTGATTTTTAATCTGAAAATTGGTATATTTATTAACTAAGTTCCTATTAGAATCAATAAATTCAAAAGCTTATAATCAAAATTTATTAAACAAATATAATGCAATAAAATAAAATTAATAGAAATATTTCATAACAACTCTTGTATTACGTTTGTGTAAATTTTAGACGCTTATTTTTACGATTTAATGATTCGACCACCATATTGGATTCGCCATTTTGAATTTTGAAAACCCGACATCAAATTTGTAATCAGCAACCCTAAAAACCTTCAAGTTACAAGTTTCAAGTGAATTCGATGAACTTTTATAAATTTCGACCGCCATATTGAATCCGTCATTTTGAATTTTGAAAATCTGACATCATAATCGTAATCAGCGACCCCAAAAACCCCTAAGTAACAACTTTCAAATGAATTGGTGAATTTTTATAAATTTCGACCGCCATATTGGATCCGCCATTTTGAATTTTGAAAATCTGACATCAAATTCGTAATCAGCGACCCGGAAAACCCCGAGATACCAGGTTTGATAAAAAATTATTAATTTGCACAAGATTTCCTATCACCTTTCATTTAAGGGTTGTTTTTACCCCTAAAAGCAAAAAATGACCTGATCTAGCAAAACGTCCAGACACGGGTATCTTTTTTTTGGGCCTAGTTTCTGAAAATCATTGATTTTTTCGTGTGTGAAAAAAAAGTTAAATTTTATCGGACGGTGTAATATATAATTAAAAGGAAATTAAATATAGAGGAATTTAGAGAAAAATAGTAACTTCAAAATATTTCTTAATATTCCATTAATTATCAACCATTTTTCGGTAGTTTATTAAAAAAAATTGTTTTGACTCTTTCATACATGAATTACATTATAAAAAAATTGTAAGTTATAAATATTTCTTTTACTATACAAAATTTTTTTTTAAAAAACCTCAAAATCACCATAATCTTCCCCTTAATTTACGCGTAGTTCGCTTTTGGTTTTATAATTTTTAATATTTTAAATAACTTTTTTTTATAATATTCTTTGGTCTTTTAGCTGCAATTTGATACATTGCCCGTAGGCCTAACCTCATTCTTGAATTTTCTGTGGCTCGTTAAAATATTTTTGACACTCGGGGACCCATGGAACATGATAATTTAGTCATTTTAGAAATATTATGTAAATCAAACATTGTTTTTATAAATTGTAAGTTTAATATAGTGCAGTCTAATAAAAAGGCCTATTTTTCATAAACAGTTATTTACAGACGCCGTTATTATGCCTCGCAATGAACCAAAAATTTAAAAATATACTTAATTTGATGATTATTCCTATTTTACTTTAAGTAGAAACTTGAATATTACGAATCAAGTGTCTAATATTTTATATCTTATATATTATACTAAACGTCTCATGGGACCCTGGTACCGGAGTCCCATGAGACATTGCAAAGTTTTTCAAAATATCTTATCACATTGATAATACAAATTAATATGAAATTTGCGCCTGATATTAAAGATGTGTTGTGTATACTAGAATTAAATAAATCACTACTTTAGTGAAGTACATGCATGGGAGATTGGTCTCCTGTAGTCTATTCTTCATGAGCATCATGTTAACACACTCTTGATGACTTTTTATGCAATTTAACCTTATTGACAAACTTAAACACAATAATATGCGTTATCTGCTACTCGAGAGCCGTCTGTAGGTACCTTGTAAGTGTAAAAATACTATTTATTTTCCCACGCTTAGTTTAACCCTTTAATAGCCGAGTTTTTTTATTATTTTAAAGACATGATGTATATTAGATTATAATTATTTCAGTATTTAATATAATTACAAAAAAAATTTAACACGTTTTACCTCTTAGAACAACCCCTAACGTTTAATACTACTCCGAAATATTGATAATTCATCTAAACGATTAATTAAACATTTTACAGCTCTTGCATACTTCATAATTATTTCTAAATATATCCTGGTTGCTTAAAAATTAGAAATGATAATCAACAACCACTTGAAATTTTTGTAAATGATTAAAAAAGGTTTGTGAATTCTTGCAATTAGTGCATGTAAATTGTAAAAAAGTATTTCTAAGCTACACAGATAAAAATAATGATGATAAACAACCTCTTGAAACCCACCCCTAATTCATAACTATTTTTAAAATCTTACATTTGTGTTAAAAAATTAAAAAAATCATTTTGACTGATTCTGTACGTTTCAAAATTATAAATAAATATTTCCATGAAACAGCCAATTAATGGCTTCGACTTGAACGCTACCATGTATGAACATCCGTGTTAATCAATCAGCGCGCGTCGCTTTCGTTGCTGCCATATATAGACATTCGTACTACTACTACTACTACTGTCACCCTATTTTTAACTTTTTGCAATTTTTCTTCCTTTGCCATTTTTCTGTCAGTTTAGAAAAACTGACATCAGATTTGTCATCAGCGACCCAGAAAACCCCCAGGTGACGTGTTTCAAGTGAATTCGATGAGTTTTAAAAAATTCGGCCGCCATATTGGATCTGCCATTTGGAATTTAAAAAAACTGATACCAGATGTGTCATCAGCGACCCAAAAAACCCCTGAGTAACGAGTTTCAAGTTAATTCGATGAGTTTTTAAAAATTTGGCTGCCATATTGGATCCGCCATTGGGAATTTTAAAAAAACTGATACCGGATGCGTAATCACCGACCCCAAAAACCCCCGAGTAAGAAATTTCAGGCAAATCTGATCAATTCTAAAACTTTTGGTTTAATGGGGTAGTTTTTGACATTTTTCTTTACCCTTGTGGAGAATTGTTACTTATTTTTTTTACAATGTTGAAATTATCTGTAAAAATATGTAATAGTTAAAACTGAAAAAAAATTTACATAGAATTTTTACTGTTTTTTCAAATTTTGTGATTTTTTATTTTTTTTGGAGGGGTGTATTTCAAAAAGGGTAGTTTTTTGAAAACGGTATGGATATGTATTTGTTACTGATGACCAGCCCTTCAAAACAAGACCAAAGCGGAGTTAATATGTTAAGATTTGAGAAAGTTATGATTTTTTGAAGTAGGTGTATTATTAGTATTATTATTAGTATAACTACTGCAAAAGCAAACTTTAAAAAGAATATGTCTATTTTTTCTTTATTTTGGTGCATAATAAATAGAAAACCATTATAGAAACCGAGGCGCAAAAATTTTTCATTTTCTCGTTAAGCTGTGTAATAAAAATAAAACATAAATTATTTGAAAGTTTAAGAAATCAACTAATTAATCATGCTTTACTTAATCTTACTTTTGACCACTTTTTTTGATTTTAAGAACGGTTTCCAAAAAGTGTCACCTAATATTTATAAAATTCCACTTACCCCCAAATACTTTACAAATTAATAGAAGGTTATAACCTTCTAGGAATGGACCGCTAATTCCTCTAACTTCAACGCCTCCGCCATCATAAATTACTGGTTTCGAGGGATTTTCTGAAAAAATTATATTTTTGTACAATATAAGTAGTATAATTCTATTTTTCTCTTAAGGGGAAAAACTAAATTTATAAACTATAAATTTTTTTTACTTTAAAAATTAGTGTGTTTAAATAATATTCAATTTCATCATATTATATTTCCTGATTATCATCATTATAACCTATTTTTGCACAATCATCACTTTTAAACATATTTTGAATAAATATTTAATGCCATCCGTATTACCACATAATATAATACAAATATGACCTTCAAATTTTATACTCAAATAAAGATTATATGCTACCATAATTGAATCGTCAGCAATACATTTAATTGACCCTTTTTTTAATAAAACATGATTTTTTTATCATAATTTCTTCGCCTGAGTTCCGGATAATTCTTAGAACTATAAGTTGTTTTAGAACAAAACGGCTTTGGATATTGTTTTGTTCAAAGTTTCTTTTCTAGATCCATGTAAGGTGAATACGTTTTTGTTTTCCGCAAGGCCCATGAACTTGAAATTGCTTTCGAATGTTAAAAAGTTCTTTATTCTTTGTTTCGTCCAGGATTTCAGCACATATAATTTTATCTAAAGTTTCTGCATCGCAAAATTATGTTGGTAAAAATATAATTAAATGACCATGTGGCAATCCACGCTTTTTTCATTCTATATGAAAGAGCCCACACAGCACTGATAATTCTCCGAAGATTTATTGAATGTTTTAAGATTAACTTGTAAGTGTTGCATCGCCGCGTTCAGAATAGATTATTTAAATCTTAAAATCTCCGCTTGCAAGCAAATGTATATTACGTCTAGTTTTATTTTGAACCTTTAACGAAAATGTAATTTACATATTCAGTCAACTTTCGCGTTAAAAATTTGCTCACATGCGGACATTTTAATATTTAAATAATCTATTCTGAAAGCGGCGATGATATTTACAATAACAGATTTGAGCAATATTTTTTTGCTTTACTTATAACTTTTTTCCTACTAAAAATAGAGAAAAATGGTGTGAATGTATTTACGCAGAAGACCTTAAACTTTTATAAAAAAATTTATTTTTTTTACAAAAATAATTATTTTTAAACAATTGGTTTAAAAAATAAAATTTGTTTATAACTTTTAAATATATTCTCCCTCATTCAGAAGCGCGAAAAAAATCATGAATATTGTTTAAGTCATAATAAATCGATTGTTAAATTTTTGAGATGGCATTATTTTTTGTTTTCGAGATATTAATTAATTAACTAACAAAAGTTAATAAAAATAAAATATTTTAAGAACATATAAAATTAGAGTAATTATAAAAACACGATTAGAATGCTTATCAAAATACGCATCTAACGAGCCCTATATTAAGTATTTCTGATAAACGGGTGTTAAATTAATAATTAAAATTATTTAAATAATTAATAACATTTGAGGAAATAAAGATAAACCGTCAATTCTTTTTTGTTTGGAAGATCATTTAATTCTGTGTCACGAAAAGAATATTAAGTATTACTAAGAATCAAAAATTAATTATAAAATGTTATTTAGAAATAGACTGAAAAATACCTTGCCGAGTAGGTAGGCAGCCTCCTCCAACTTGTGTCGTAGGTTGCTGAAACATCGATTTTCAATAATCATCTGTTAAAAATTTAGATTTGTTAAAAATGCTATTTACACTGGTTTTATTTACCACAGAATTAGATGATCTTCCAAACAAAAAAATAATTGACGGTTTATCTTAATTTCCTTAAATGTTATTAATTATTTAAATAATTTTAATGAGTAATTATTTAATTTTAAAATTACTCTGATTTTATTTGTTCGTAAAATATTTCATTTTTTATTAACTTTTGTTAGTTAATTAATTAATATCTCGAAAACAAAAAATAATGCCATCTCAAAAATTTAACCATCGATTTATTATGACTTAAACAATATTCATGATTTTTTTCGCGCTTCTAAATGAGGGAGAATATGTTTAAAAGTTATAAACAAATTTTATTTTTTAACCAAATTGATTAAAAATTAATATTAAAAAAAATAATATTTTTTCTAGAAGGTTAAAGTCTTCTGCGTAAAAAACATTTACAACATTTTTCTCTATTTTTAGTAGGAAAAAAGTTATAAGTAAAGCAAAAAAATTTTGCTCAAATTTGTTATTGTAAATATCTCGAAAAAAATTAAAAATTTGTACACCTATTTAGCACCACTATCACTACAATTTACCGAATTTTAAGAAAAATTTGAGACATGACCCTGTATTCTCATATGAAATGCCTCATATATATAGATGTATCAGTGTCAAGCCTAGGGGGTCGTTAAAATTGCCGGGAGCTCTGAAGTCCTTAAAAATCCCAAGAATTTTTGGTTAAAATATGATTGTAGAATGCGAATGAACCTCAAGTCACAAAAAAAATTTTTTTTGCAAAAATATCGAGAAAAAAAAGTGGATAAAAAATTTTGTCACTTATTTTGCTCTAACTATTTTTATAATAAATATTCGATGTTCATTCGCATTCTACAATCATATTTTAACCAAAATTTTTGGAATTTTTAATTGTTCCTTATCGTGGAACAAAATTTTATGTAATAAAAAAATATATTTTTTATTAAAAAAAACACATTGGAAAAAATCCCTCGGCTGGACCACACTCCCCCTTAAACCTCATTTTGAAATTTTTTAAGAATTTCAATTTTAACTCAAATATCACTCCCATTGCTTAAAAAATATCAATAATAATAAAGATGTAGTCCAGAGTTTATTAATAATATTTCAATTAATATTATTAATTTTAAAGTAAAGAAAAGATTTTAAAAACTATAGAATAAGTTATAAAAATATTGAATTTTTCTTTATAAAAATAAAAATATATATTAAAATTTTGTTCTGGAAAAGTACTGATATTTTAAATGAGGTTTTCAGTAGACATCCACACCACGTTCTTTTAAAGCAAAGTATTCTAATAACATTGTCTTTTTCTGCATAGTGGATCTTATAGCATCGTCATTAGCTTCTTCGCTAATAGTAACGGTATATTTATGAGGTAAATGAACAGGCAATCTGGTAACAGAATGACTTTTATTCTGTATTGGTCTTCCAAAAATTCTATCACATGCTTCAACGGGACTTACATATCGAGTTTTAATGATATTTCGAATTTCATCGAGGCGTATGAATATTACCCAATTGACATGTGACCGAAATGCATATAACATACGTGTCATTTGAACAAAAATGTCATTTGACATAAATGACATTTATCAAAATTGTCATTTGACATATGCGACATTAATCTAAATTGTCATTTGACATAACCGATATGTAACAAAAATGTCACTTCACCTAAATATTCTAGCGCGTATTTCAAAATTGACCAATTAAAAGATATTATTAAGATTGTAATTCGTCAATTTTAAAATTCGCGCTAGAATATTTAGGTCAAATGAAAATTTTTATAAGTATCATTTATGTCAAATGATATTTTTGTTACATATCCATTTTCATCCATTGTTGTTTCTGAGTAGAATTACTTTGAAAATCTTTTTGAACATTTACCATTTTCATCATACCAGCTCCCACATGGACCGTGAATCATGTTTCTCATAACAATATCATGAAATTCGGTTTAGTTGAAGTTTAAACAAAGTTGGATGACTCACAGGTTTAAAAGGTACAAAAAAGTTTATTAAGGACAAAATCGCAGGACAATTAATTATTCCATTAAAAATTTCAAAAAGAAAGAGTAAGTCAATATACAGAAATCTCTGTCTAAGTGAAGGGATTCTTAATACGCGTTTAAGTTCTGAGTAATCATGACTATAAGTATCAAAAGTTATTCCTAAACACCTCGCAGCAAAACGCAGAAACTTATTTTGTACACGCTCGAGTTCAATTAACAATGATTCCTGATAAGGTAGCCAAATAATACAAACAAACTCGATAATTGATCTAACAAGTGAAAAATAAAGAATCTTTAAAGCTAATGGACTTTTGAAACAGGATGCATTTCTTGCGACAAAGCCCATGATCCTATTAGCCTTCGTTATAGTGTTTTTAATATGCACTCGAAAGTCAAGAGCGGAATCTAAAGTAACACCCAGGTCTCGCACCATGTTCACTCTAGTAACAGTTTCATTACCAATCTTATAATTAAACTTAATAAAAACTTTTTGTTTAGTGAATGAGATAACGCTACATTTTTTAGTATTTTAAAAAAGATTGTTTTTTATTAACCAATTAACAAGTTGATCAAGATCAGCATGGAGATCAATACAATCTTGCTCAGAGGTAATAGATTTGTATAATTTGAGATCGTCCGCGAAAAGTAAAAATAAACTGTGAGTAAATAAGGAATGAATTTCATTAATAAAAAATAAAAAGAAAGGAGGACCAAGGTGCGAGCCCTGAGGAACTCCTGAAGTGGCCAGAAAAACATCAGAAAAATCATAATCAATGCGAACAGATAAAAATCTTTCAGTGAGGTAGCTCTTGACCCAACTAATCATACCGCGAGAAAAACCAAGAGCCTCGAGCTTTGCCACCAACAATGCATGGTCAACTTTTTCAAAAGCCTTCGCGAAATCTATGTATATAGCGTCAACCTGTATATATTTTTCGAGACAAAAGATTGTATAATTAGTGAACAAAGTAAGATTGGTTAAAACTGACCTACGCTTCATAAAGCCATGCTGCTCTTCAATTAGTAAATGCTCCGTTTGACTGTATAATTCGTCGAATACAATGCTTTTAAAGTTTTTAGAGACGGCGCCAAGTAGAATTATAGGCCTATAGTTAGTGACGTCACTCTTATCCCCGTCCTTGAAAACAGGCACGACTATACCTCTTTTCCAGTTTAACGGAAATATACCAGATGATAATGAGCGATTAAATAATACAAATAAAGGTTCAACAAATGCAGAACAGCATGACCTTAAGAGAGAAGGTGGAATATTATCTGGTCCAGCAGCTTTATTTACATCCAAATTCTTTAGTTTTGACAAAATTGTTTTTCTATCT